CGCAGTCAAGGTTTGACGAGCGACGAATTCGACCCCCTCTTTCTTGTGAGGTTGTGTCCCAGTGAAACTGCGACCATCGGCCCCCCAGATGACGTCCTGCTCGCCATGATAAATCGGGGAAAAGACGCAAAGCTGAATTAGGATAAGCTGCTTATATGAGAACAACCTGCTGAAATCGACCGGAGATTTAAAATACCATCGCAGTAATCACGACATTAACACGTATAATTCTTGACAAAGCGTTAAGAACGAGGAGTGTACAGTTCAGAGGTCGGCGCAGACCTGCCTTAATACATAAAACGTGGGACAGTGCGTCAGTCATTAATTCTGCGTGGTCGCGGTCTACTTAAAGTTGCTTTTCCGAAATCTTCTAAAAATATGTTCAGCAAATCCGTAAAGTATCAAGACATTCGCCCCGAAAACCAAACAAGAGCAGTAGTACCAACCATCACATCGCATGACTGAGGGCAGTGCTGTCAACATTACAGGGGATAATGCACTCGGACTGACGCGTGAGTCACAGCTGAAGAGAAAGGGCGGGCTATCTCCTATTAGCAGAGGAGAGACAGAGGAGGGCGTGAATGAGGTGTCTTACGTTGCGACAGTAAGACCTGAGCAGGTTAACGCACCAATCAAATGCTAGCACGTGCGTGGAAGGATCTACCACCGCAAAAACATTTGTCGAAAAAGCAGTGTTTGAGATTTCACTGTCTTCTGGGTTGTTGCGCCGTGTAGTATGCCCTGATGATCGAGGCAGCAGGGACCTACGAGACCACACGGTGCAACAACACAGCAAATGTCGCACAATTGTCGATATTTGTCTTCGGGAACGGCAGGCGGCGACCCACGCGGAAGTGGCGGTCCACTCACACACTCCCCGCCCACCTCGTTCCGGCGGGCCACGGCGGGCCGCGTGAGTTCTGCTCGCCACCGCTAAGTCCAGACCGGCGCTGGGGGAAACTTCAATATTATCCTCCGGTACAAATATAGCAAGTGGCCTCGTCCCTTCGGATTTCCGTACTAAGAATTTGTATGCATATCTTGTATCTCCCACGCGTGCCACATGCCCCGCCAATCTCACCCTTACATCCTCCCCCCAGCACTCTGGTCTCAAAGACACCCGGACTGCGTCGTATCAGAAGGCGACAGATCATGTTTCAAGCCGGGTGTGGTGTTCGGTCAAATCTAATAAATGTATTCTACCTCGTATAGAAATGCACGAAAATTTTTCGATTAATTTATGCATCACAGGTGTCGCTAGCAATGCAAATTGTACATCAGTTGTCATTTACGAGTTAACGTTTTTTAAAGAAAAATACCATATATATGTCTGTGTTCTGGAAAGTTGCGTCGTGCAGTCTTGAAGGAACTGGCCGTCGTTTCAGAGGTGTTTACTGCCTCCATCATCAGGGCGATATCTACCAGACTACACGGCGCAAAATCCCAGAAGACGAAGAAATTACTTTACTAAA